CGTCGGGTCGACGCGTTGCATCCTGATTAACTTAGACTTTATTCTTTCATATTTCTGATTCGCTTTTTTTACGAAGATCTCGTATCGAATTAAACGCGCGAGCGAATTTCGATTTCTTTCGACGATGCTTCTCGCGTGACTTCCTCGGACGCATTGAAACAACGCGGTTGCTTCACACGCGTCGTTACAGCAACCGGCGTATTAAGAAACAAAATAATTTTAACGAAACGCGTGGTGTTTGTTAATTGCACGGCGTCGAGGGTTCTCTACTTTCCCTCCGAAAACAGACAGAATTGCGGTAGCCCGAACGAGAAACTTTGGCTCTACCTCGTTGACCCTCGTTCCCCGTAGACGAGCTATACAATTAGCATAAAATAATAGAATTTATTAATAGGGTTTCTAGTTAACGTTGTCGCGTTATTCCTGTTTCTCGTTAACTCGTCGGTGGACGTGCTTGTTTTCGAATACCAGTTCTTGGGATCTTATGAATTTTTTATGGAAGGTCTTCTTAGCACGACTTTTAGCAGAGAATATGGCGATATTTCTCATTAAATCAGTGTTATTCAAAGTAGTGGTCTTCCCTCCATTTTGATACGCGCCTCGATCCTCATTAAGGTTCGCGGACGCTCGAGAATGCGTACGCTATCTATCAAAATAAATAAAAAGAACTGTTAGTAAACAAGTTTAGGATCAAACGGTTTACGAGTTCTAACGAAGAGTTTTACTTCGTCGCAGCAGGTGTTCATAGAGACTTCCTTCCATTTTGATACACGCCTCGATAGGTACGTGTTCTCATTGAGGATTACAGGCGCTCGGGAGTGCGTACCTTATCAAAATAAGCACAGAAGCGCTGGTGAACATAAATTTAGAAAACCGTTCGCGAGTTCTGACCAAGTATTTTATTTCGTAGCAGCAGGTGCTCGTCCTCCCTCCATTTCGATTCGCGCCCCGATACGTGTCGTTGAGATTTACAGTCGCTCGAGAATGCGTACACGGTGGTTAGAAAAATAAGCAGAAAAGCGTTAGGAAACAGTGGTCTAGAATTCAATAATTTCCAAGTTACAAGCTATAATATCGCGAGCCAGATATCTCGAGTCCCCATTTTGCTTGAGATTCCAGAGTTTTTCTCGTCGAGAAATGGGGCATTTAAATTTCTACGTATGAAAGTTTTGATTGAAAGTAGCGTTCCGCGGTGAAGACCGCGGCGAATTAACAGAATGTACAAAGAGGAATTTTCTATGAAACCTGCTCGACGCGCGCGATGACGGCTGACGATGATGAGTTTTAGACAGAAAGTAGTGGATTCGCCGCGAAGGTGTGAAAGAGGATCGTAACAGTTGTAACACTTTCGTGGCATGATCGTTAAACAGCGATATCGACGACAGTAACGGTATGTCATTCTATATCGACGAACTGGCTGCTCGTCGGCCAAACCTTTTCAAAAATCTACGCGCGTCCATCGACCGCGAGATTACATAACAGATTTCATCGACATCCAACAGCGTCAGAGACGAACAAAATATAAATAAAAGTTTTATTCGCTGCTCTACTTCTCATACAGAATACGATTATTCTAAAAAAGAGTTTTTAATCAACCTCTGCGGTCGAGTTCGCGTCGAGGCTGAATATTGTACTTCGCCATAATCCAGACACGGCGCAGAAATTTAAAAAACGTAATCGCGTACATGGAAAACAATCTTTGGCCTCGTTTCGAGAAGCGTACGCGGAAACGTTGCAACCAGGAAAACGACATTGTTTAATGCCACGCGCGGGGATCTATGACCACAGAAATTGCGCAAGTCGTACGCGTAATTGATCGATGGAAATCGAATGATTTTTACTCCCGGCCATAGAGTTAACGATCGCGAACGAAATGTTCGAGTTTCGAAGTCCGTTGGGTGAACGTTTCCCAGAGAGATTCTTACGGGCGAGGGTACAGAGCGCGTTTACCGAGCTGTCGAGAAGTGGTACAAGTGTCAGGAGTTGTTGAAAACGCACGGCGTCGCGACTATTTTCCAACGCGTCTGAAAAGGTGGCTCTTCGTCGCAGCAACAACGACTTCCTTAAGAACGTCACGAGGTACGCGTTAAAAATGCGTTAACAGCTTGTAACGAGTGCCTTTCGTGTCAGTGATCCCTGGCCGAGAAAACTTGGACGTCTCTCGGTAGGTGTCGTCGACAGGTATTTCACCTTCGCGCCGAGAGTCGAGCTTCTTCTTTGTGGTGCTTTTCTCTTATCTGCCCGGATCGACGATCCAGAGAGACTAGTCTTTCAAGATCGAACCGAACGTGTGCATACAAGGTTGTGCGCGCCCGTGCAGAAGCCTGGAGCCCGTCGTACGCGAAACGGTTTCGTTACTCCCGATGCTAATTCTTTCGTACATTTTTTTTCCCCCCCCCCGCTCCGCGTCGCCGTGGCCCGATAAGGAACTTTGCAATTTTCCGATAATTGCGTACAAGCTCCCGGGGTCCGCGGTTAACGTAAAACGGTAATTACGCCCGTAAACAGTCGCATGCAAAGTACCTTCGAATAGAAAGTTTCTGGCCTTCGCGGCGCGAGACGTCTGCCCCAGAAGGCGAGCACTCTAAAAAGACAAACCCCACCCGGGGGCACCGTAGGAAAGAGCAGACGATGGAATTCCCTTTTGCCTTCGGTAACGTTCGACGAGCAAAAAGAGCGACGCAAAGGCCACCAGGGTACAAGAGACGGAGGGCAGAGGGGAGGGTGTCGGTTCAAGACGTCGAGCCCTCGGGCTAGGCGGAGTCATTCTAAAACTAGCGTCTCTCGTTCTTTCTAATGACTGTCATTTACCTGGTGTCGTCCTCGTGTCCTGCAGCATCCGACAATCCGCGACGGGCCCTCATACTGCACGTAATCTTTTCAATGTCCGGGGCAAGATGGATTCCCGGCGTCATTAGGGAGCATAAAGTGTCTTTCTTTCCCTGCCCCCGTTCCAACCCCCCTCCCCCCTCTTTCCGTCTTTTCCGTCTGTCCGTGGAATTTGCCTCGACTCCTCCGCCCCTGGCCCTCTCGTAACCGCCTCTGCGCGGCGTTCCTTGCTCACCGTTGGCAATGGTGCGTCAGGTGTGGTCATTAATTTCGCAGCGAGCCGGAAAAAGTTCGCGGGGAACCGAACAAAGGTAACCGAGCGGCGTTCGCCTCGCCGCCCCGACCTGGAGGCTGAAACCAGGATTTTTGCGGTACAATTATTCGCGAAGGCGAGCCACGCAGACGCGCGGAATTACTGTAATTCATCGTCGACGCGAACCCCGGTTCGAGTTTTCCGAAGATACGCAAAAAACAACTACCGGTTTCTAAATTTTTTTCGAGCGTTACCCACCTCCTGAAAAAAGGATCCGTGCGATCGATGCGAGCGACGATACCTGAAACCATACGAGAAAATTATTATCTTGAATTGCGTAAGATCGAGCAGTCGAGTCGAGTACGGGGAACCTTAACGCGTAGTTTCATCCCTAATTTGGCGCTGCGTTCGAAGCCAGAGAAGCGTGAAAGATCACGAATGTTCGGAAAAGGTAATAATGGGAACGCGAGCGAGAGAACGTGGCTCGGAATTTAGATATACGGATTAATCCGGTTAGTGTGTACGAAACGCGATCGTTCCTTATAATTAGCCGGGTAGCAATGAACTCGGGAGAAGGCGGAAATCAATCGGAAACGTTCGATCCACTGCCATTACCGCCACCCCCGCAAGGTATTCGAGGCCACGCGATCGTCTCGCCACCGGCACGCGAGTTACGTTATATTATATACCGAAACGCGTGTGTATACATACCGCAGGCTAGACGGGATCGAGAATTTCCAGCGTTGCGACACACCGAACCAGCCCCGCGACAACGATTTTCAGCTGTAAAAATAATTGTAATTATTAGCGGTGTCCACGATTTTGTATGATTTCGCAGAACGCGCGGGAATAACGGCGAGAAAGTAACGTTGCTCGCTTTACGTAACGAAAAGAAGAGGCTTATTAACGCGGTTAAATCCGGGGTAACATTATTATTGCGAGTATGTGTACTTCGCGGAATCATTCGGGCAAATGAATCGCGCTCCACTTTCTGCGCCGAGTGGTAACGCGAACCGCGAAACAATACGTGCAATAACGACGATCCACGATGGAACTCCTCGTTTTATGCATTAAATTAATTTAAACAAAATCTCTTCTCTTGTCGGTGTTCGATTAACTGAATTCTCGTGCGATTGAATCCACTCGTCTGTACGAGGACTCGGATTGTTTGAACAAAAAAGTTAATAGATTACGGACAATAAATAATACCCCTTTGACAGGTGCAAAATGAAAGCAAGAAAATTATAAAATAAGGCGTAGGTCAATACACGGTTGAGATATTCGAACAATAGATTACTCTTAAGTGTGTGTTGACCTACGCCTCGTTTTATCATTGTAACGAGAATGAAAGGGTCGGAACTTTGAAGAGAAAATTTCTTCCTTTCCTTTTGCACCTGTCCAGCCTTCTATTATTTATTATCTTTGATTCATGGACTACGACCGACCATTAAATTAATATATGATTTGAACAATCAACAGACAGTGGGCGGAATTAGCGACTACCTATTATACGAACGTGTCTAAGTATTTTGGTGCCCGGGGCGATAACGGAACACGGTATCCTTTGCTCGGAATAGATACGCGTGTAGTATCACCTTCCTTTAAGAGGTCGATTGTTATTTCATAATATATATATACTGTCTCATAAAAATGTCGATCTTTCAAAGAAGGAACCGGAGTTAATAAAACAATCTTTTTGTCCGTGTTATCGCAATTCTATTACGAACGATCCAGTTATACTGCTTGGCCCCCGGGGCGGATTAGATAAATAGAGCTCTACTGTGCTCCAGGTTTAAAAGTACAAGTCCCTTTGTTACTCGTTCCGTTCACCGGACAACCTGTATACCAGAACGACGTCGACTGGACACTCGATTACGTACGAACGAAGTTGTGTTGACGTCGCGTTTAATTGTTGCAGGTCCGGTGGTTCGTCCAGCACGCCCAGTGCTGGCATGGTTCCATCGACCGGTGGAGGTCCTGGAAACCCGACAGGAGGCGGCAGGATGGCCGTCATCGGTGTAACCAGGAACGTGAGGCTGAGACGACGCGGAGCGTCGGGGTTCGGCTTTTCTCTGCGCGGCGGTCGGGAATACGCGGCTGGATTTTACGTCAGCGACGTTCAGCCTGGAGGGGAGGCACACAGAAACGGACTAAGGGTAAAGATTTGTATTACAGAGTTCCTTAGCGAGTATCTTAAAAATATACCGTAATAACAGAGATAACTAGACTGCAGGATCTTTATGCAAATTCACATTTTTATTAATAGAATTAATGAAACGGAAGCTTCGCAGAGGGCTGTCTCAACCCCTAAATATAATAATTCGTATCTTACTTTAAGTATTTCTTATATTTTTGCATATTAAATGCATTCTGTAGTTTTTTGAGGATTAAAATTTCCCATAAATAACGATAAATGTCGCAAGGCTCCAGTTACGATTTCCAATACTAATTTGCGTACAAACTAGAAAGTGTAAAACAAAACGTTCGATTTTGACAAATCCCCGGCAAAGACTCGGTCTGGTTAAATCTGTGCAATTGGCGTTAACCGGCACGAATCGATTTTGCAATTAAGAAACGGGTTTCTGCTCTATTTCGTCGGGCACGTTTCATGCAGTTTCACTCGACGCTTGTTGCTTTCAGGTCGGCGATCAGATCATAAGGGTGAACGGGTATCCTGTGGAGGACGCCGTCCATCAGGAAGTCGCGCTTCTGGCAAAAAACCAGCAAGTGCTCGTCCTCAAGATCCGAAGTAATTACCACGTTTCTCAGATTCCCCGGGCAACGCCAGATGTCATCCGTTATCCCGCCAAGGGGTTTTTCTACCACGGACGTTCAAAAACACCGACTTTTTTCGTCGTACCCGCTTGTCGATTCCAAGCATCGGAAACGCGGCTCTGAATTATTACATTTTATATCGTGCTAAATTTTTTGCAAGCTTAAACCGATCGCTGAATATCTGCGGCGAGGATCGTTACGGTATTTACAGTTATTTGCACGGACACGCGTCGCTGTGTCCAATTTTAACGCTGTTTTTCTCAAAACTACTTTCTCCGAGACGATGTTCCTAAAAATTCCAATACTAACGGACCGATCTCCGCGGAATTTGGCACACGTTTAAAGCAAACATATTTTTTGCTGGAGCTACGACCAGTATCATATCTGGAGTCGTTCTCTTTTAAAGAAAACCAGAGATTACTGAATATAAATAATTAAGGAACTTAAAGTAATCACTCCACACTTTAAGAAAACGCAAATTTTTTTGAGACCCCCGTAGTAAGAAAACCCCTCGATCCTGTCTCTGTTATCGACGTTGTGAACTCAATAACCCTGTTTTTCTTTCAGGCGTGGGAATGATACCAGTGAAAGAGTAAGTACCGATCGGTCATTAAACCTTCCGCAAGACAATCCGCGTTCACACGAGGAGCGTTTTCTCGTTTTAAAGATTACCTTATGATTCGCAAAGCAATCCGAACGACCCGGTCACCTGGCACATGGTCCAACAGCAGCAACAGCAATTGCAGTACAACGAGACTGGCGTGGGAGTTGTGCCGAGCACCGAGGTCAGGATTCGGATCCTCGTTGGGGAGAAGGGTCGACTGGGATGCGGCGTTTGCAGGGGCATCGTGCCTGGCCTGACTGTTCAGGTTAACAAAAAACTCTATTAACAATTCCGGATTCGTTGTTACGCAAAGTGACGGCGAGAACTGATCGGATGAAAATTAAACAGGGCACCAGAGACGACGGGCCAGCGAGAGCAGCGGGCTTGAAAGCTGGCGACGTGATCGTCTGGTGCAACGGGCAGCGACTCACCGATCTTCCGTTCGAAAGAGCTATCGAGGTAATGAGAAGCTCCGCCGTTCTCGATTTAATAGTGCAACGATCCGCGCCCAATCACCTTTACGACTGCCCCGAACCTCTCTGGACCCGGGGATCGAGCGGCTACGACTCCGAAACGTCGAGCGTGGCTGCAGCCAGTCCTCAACCTCAGCAGAATCCTTCTTATTCGCCGCAGCATCACCACGACGCCAGGATGAACCATCGATATCCCCGCGACGACGCCTGCAACCGAAACGGAAGGTTAGTGTGGTATATATCCTGTCGATCGCGACGGATATTGCATCTTCCGTTGCACTTACGGGTTTATAGATGTTACAAAAAGCTCTTATCTTTTTATACTGTTGCTGGAATAATGTAGTCTCCAACCGAATAGAAAAGACGACACGAAGAATGTGAAGAGGTCTGGTGTAGTGGTAGCTTCGAGTACACCAAGGTGTCCACACTCTGAAATCTTGAACCAATTGATATTTAGCACACTGTCCTAAGTTAGAACATTTACAATTCTTTGTACGTAGAAATCGTTGTTACGAAATCCACTCTGAAGGATGAATTCCCTTGTCTTAGAGTTCTAGCATACAATTAAGTAACGTAAAATAAGATTCCAGGTTGGAACAGCCGGTGAAGACCGATTACGACGTTCCAATACGATTATCCTAGATTCCTTCGAATAAAAGTTCCTTGACATTCGCGAAACGTCAGCGATTAATTGCATGAATCGCGTGACGCAATCGCGAACGAGCTATACTGTTACAGCATCGTCGAACCTGGGATTATTGTACGTAATTCCAATTAACAACGATCGGTTTGAACGTAGAGTATACAGAGGATCGGAGTCGTACGATCGGCAGAAACGATCGTTTGCGCGTTTTACGGCACCGGATACATATCTCTGTCGTTACGAACCGTTATCGAATGGCATCGATGAATTTACAACGGGAGAAAGTCGTTCTATTAATAGGACATTTCGCGATAATGATCGCGGTGCTAAGCACGACGAATTCCTACCCGCCACACGAACGTTCATCCTGCTCTTAACCCAGCTCGGCCGGTCGAGCTTCCTCACGACGTCGTTTAATTGGGAATTAGAAAGTACCAGCGAGGTGCAATCGACGATGAAAAATCACTCCACCACGTGTCATTGAATTTTCTAGGATCTGCTGTCCATTGGCCTTGTCCACCAGCAGCTGCAGCTCCACGGAATGGGCTCACGTGGATCAGGTAAACACTCTTTAAATCAAAATTAAATTACACGTAACGCAAGAACGTGGACTATAACGTTACGTCTTATGCGATCTTCCTTCGTCGGATGCGAGGGAAACGAGAGGAGCCGATGTTTTTTCAAAGAAAAGCCTACTTCTGTAAGAAACGGAAATAACGACCGGATGAAACTGCACAAAATTCTCTCTGTATTCTTCGTGCGCTCTGCTCTCTTTCCCAGCTCGCTAATTACTATTACCGTCTTCTCGCGTGCCACCTGTTCTTTCTCTCTCTCACACCGATTTCGCTGACATTTGAACCCAATTCCGACGCAACCTACCTCGCTAGTCCCATTGTTGGATCCTTCGGCCTTCATACGTCACTCATCCCACGATCTTCCACGAAATTTCGATGCTCGCGTAGAAAACAAGCACAACAAAATAGAAGCCTCCTGAATCAGCAGACGGTGTCTATCAAATATAATGGAAAGGAATTCACATCGCGAGGAGGAAGATCGCAGATACGTTTAGATCTCGATGAGAATCCTATCTGATCGTATACAGCACGGTTGCTAACTCGGGTAACCACCAGAAAATGTACACTGGTTAGCCTCGAGTGACAACTTGCTTCACCACCTTGCATTTTCACAGTGGTTATCCCTCCTAACCGTTGTTTACCTTTTTTAAATCGTCTTGTTCCGACTTGCAGGCTCAAGAATGGACCCGCAAGCCAAATAACACCACTGTAATCCGTATAAATCAGAACCAGAACCAAAATCACAGGCTCATCGGCGGCCCGGGACACCCGAATTCGCGCGGCAGCTACGAGGACGACATCGACAACGAGCCTCTCTACGATCCGGTGGCGCCCAGGATCGACTACGAGGTGCACGATTTCGACGCGAATCCGCGCGACGAGGCGAATCGTCGATTGGCTTATCGACGTGACAACTGCAGACAGCAGGACTACATGTACGACGGACCAGCGGACGATGTTCTCCCCTATCACGGATCCAAAGTAAGGAAACGGCCGCTTTCTAAACGCCGGCACTCTTTCGGTCGTTAACTTCTTCCACTGGAACGTAAACAAAACCTCGTGGAATTCCCGGTGAAATGAAAAAGAAACTTGTTTAATAATTAACGAGTCATCGACGCGTGCGCTTTCTACCATCGAGCGCCCTCGTAATCGTGCCGATCGTCTGATCGAATTAGCGTGACGATCGACGAACGGTGCACCTTCGGCGCGACTTCGTTAAAAAGAGAAACTACCTGCGTTTCGAGACTGTTAAGAGGGTGGTATGATACAGAACTTTAAAAAATAGCTGTTAACAAACGAACCGTTGATACTAAACTTTTTAACTCTGGTATTGAAATCTCCGTTAACCAGACTTGTTCGTGTAGATTATAATATAAGACGATAGGTCTGATACTGTGTTTAAAATTAAGAGAGCCTGAGTTCGCGTGCTCTGGATCAAGCTACCCCCGTAAACGGGTAGGTTTAATGCCCCCTTCCTGGAACTTGTGTGCTGTAGGAAAACGGTTCGCAGGACGGCAATCGGCTCTCCGACTTGCAGATGATGCAAAAACCGATCGAGGGAGACAGGAAAACGGTGACCACCGTGGAGGTGCATCAGACTGTGTGCCCACCGGCACCTCCGCCACCTCTTTCTTACAAATGGCCGGCAGGTTTGTCAAACTTTCCTGAAACAATTCGCTACATGTACAGAACGATCTGGATCGAAACGGTGAAACAAAGTTTGATAACCATTGCTAGTCGACACATCAACGACGCAGATAAGACTCGAGTGGATTAGACTCCAAACAGTCTTACCAACGTAGCACCGACGCTACATAAATTGATGGGCGTTATCAAAGAAATTTCCATAAACGTCAATTGTTTGACGCTACTAACGTAATCACTGCTGGTTGATTCACCCAACAACGTAGATAAAGTTCCGGTGTATGTGTCTGCCAGAGAAACTCTTCTGTAGGTCGCGTAGAAAATCAAACGATTATCTGCTCCGTTAAGTGTGATACAAGTCCTTAGCGTAATGCAACAACGCTAAACGTCGATGATTATAGCTGTTTCTTTGATAGCGTCCATCTAATTAAATCTATACCTTCTACCATATGTTTATAGAGGTACTTGAACTCTATTCCACAATGGGAATCCTCTTCCTTGTCGAGATCATCTTCTTCCAGATCATTCTGCCACTAGAAAGACCAACGAGAATTATTCTATCAATAAAACATAAGATATACTAGTAATATATGCTACAGACAAACAAAAAGTACATTTAAATAACAGAATCGGGCAAATATCATTCGCCGACAACGAGTACAAATTTTCATCGCTCGTAAACCAGCATCATTAGGAAATTCCTTCGCAAATAATAACCCGTAAACGTAAACGAATTTTTTTAAAGCTACGCGCGGCCGATCGGAAGCTAATTTACGAACGGATCTAAAATTTCGATGGTCGTGCCGCGATATAAAGTTTTCCCAGCCCCGGCAGCCAACCGTGCGCGGATTTTCCGCTTATTGGACGATCCCGGCTCGTTGCACGGTCGATTGAAAATTTCATGCCGCGACCGCCACGGCGACTTCCGAAACGCTGATCGTAAAGTGACACGAGCACCCGGTGATATTCACGCAGAGACCAAGCCAATGAACGCCATGGGTATGCAAATGGGTAGCACGATGTCGATGGGCAGCACAGGCTCGACGGAGACGGAGTCGAGCCTGGAGTCGTCCTGCAGCAAGGACTCGGCGTCCACCTCTTCGTCCTTGTCGACGTCCTCCTGCGAACCACCGTCGACGGTTTCCTACGGCTCGGTGACGGCAGCCTCGACCGGGACCAATAAAACCAACGACACGGCGACCACCGTACACGCGACACCCCGCAATTGCGCCGCAAGGACGTCGCCGATCGCCTGCACCGACCTAAGCACCGCCATAACGCAAGAATTGCAGAGGCGAGCGCAGCAGGTAGGAGCAACGCATTTTTCTCTCCGCGGCACCGAATGGTATACTGCGTCGGTGCCCCGTGCGTGTTTCTAGCATTATCTGCAAGTTTATACGCGATACCGGAATTTTAATTTTCGATACGTTCCCGTGTTGTCGGGGGATCCTTTACATTTTATTTCATCCGAGCAAGCGCGCCTCGGGGCAAGACATTGTGATCCGAGTTTATCTCTGGGGCCGTATCGAGGTTTAAACCAACGTTAGATGCGGATAAAGTACGTTCTTTCGGGCTTAAGAACAATGCATAAATTCTCGTATTTCGAACATTCGATTTACGTTATTAGACCCGAAAGAAGGTCGTCGGGACAATTACAAATGTAATTTAGATCTTTGAATTCTTTTTATCGTAGAGAACAGATACGAATTTTATTAGCGTAGCTTGGATTTAGAATAGTCGCTGGAAAAGTAAAAATTTCTGTCGGGCACAGTGTCAGTCACGCTTTCTTGCGTTTTCGTGCACCGTCTCCTATTTATATGTCTCTTCAATAATTATAAAAACAAGTTTAGTAAAAACAAGTTGCTCGTTTTTTCGTAAATATGACGATACTTTTGACAATATTCTACGCAGTATCTTATACGTGTTGCTTCCATATTTATTACATATTTTTTCATGCATAAATGTCATGTCTACATTGCATATATTGAGTGCATAAACATTCCCACCCTACTTATTACTGACTGCAATAGTTTAGTATAACGTTCGTAGTTTCTAAAATTTAATAAAATAGAATTTAAAATTCTCATCCTCAAATAACTTTAACCTTCTAAACTCGAGCATACAATCTAGTACAATGTGACATTACAGTAATTTTCAAATAATTCTATAATGCTTGACACTTTTCTTTACCAATACCCTATGCGTCACCTTTGAAGATAACGTTTCGCGCTACAGATAATATTTTCTGAGAATCTAGACCCGGCGTTAACAATAACCAATGACTTACTTGTACGCTATGTGCGTTACGGTGTCAGTACTCGATAACAATGACTAACCGAAAAGCGTTCTTTACGTTTACGCAAAAATCGAAGGCAAGGCAACGATCTGTCCTTAATAATATCTGAAGCAGCGATTGAGTCACTTAATGCTTCCGTGTCTACCGGTAGCCGTGCCTAATCGTTTCGTTCTTCCGCGAGATAATTGATTATCGACGCGTGTCACGTACCTATCGGCATTCCATTACAGAGGAGCATGAACAACGCAGCCAAAATGGAAGGTGCTAAGGAGAGGACGCAGGAGACGCGAAAGCCACAAAATCCGGAAGCTCTGAGGGCGCAGGAGCACAAAGTCACACACGACAAGGTACCTTGGAAAAGCTAACAATTACTCACGCTTTACTCGCAGTAAACGTAAACGTAAACGTAAATGTGAATCGAGAGTCGCTTTGCATTGGAACACCATGGTACCATAGGAAGTCTAAAGCTTGTAAGATCGCGAGAAAGGTAAAGAAAGATCGAGTGGATCGGGTATTCTAAAATTAACTACGGAAATGCTAGAAGAAACTAGAAAGATTCCGCGTATATAGTATGATGAGCGTCGAAAGAAAGCAATTACGACGGTAGAGTGGCTGGCAAAAAGCAATACACAAATGAAGTAAATCGTTGGAAAAGATTGCTGTTTGCTCTAGGAAATATCTTTTTCCATAGACTCCGGGTCACTTCGATCCGGAGTAATATAATCGTGGATTAAACGGACGGTTCGTTCTTTCGAAATTTTGGCGTTAATTTGTTTGCTAGTTATAATCGAAGGCCGAGGAAACATTGGTAAATAGAATGCAATAGAAACGTACACACGTGTATCGCAGGTAAATCCAGGTTTTGATCGTCGCAGACAATCCGATAACGGTATTCACACTCGATTTACTTTGATTTTTAATCGCGTATTACTATAGATAGGCGTACGAGGACTCGTGTGAGTGACTGTATCTACGATCGTTGACAACCAAAAGCGCAATCGCGTCTCGTGGTTACGCACGCTTACGATCGACTTCGATCGATTTTTAATCGACGAAGCGTGGTACGGATTTTCAACTGCAAGAGAAACAACGCTCGCGAAAAGTGCAAACGTCGTTAAACGCGAACGGCCGCTGAAAAGATCCGCGGCAATAATGAGTAGAGAGCCGATCTAATTAAAAATTATTGCACGATGTTGCAAACGATTGAACTTTCGTGGGTGAGCGTTCAAACGACGATATTCACAGGCGCAGCGCTCGCTCGAGTATCCTTGCGCAGTTTATAACCGTACGCGGATGAAGCGAGCGGCGCACTCGCAAATTCGTCGTCCTCTTTGCTCCGTTTTCGATACGTTTCGCTTCTATTTCCAATTACAGAAGTAAAAGTGCAGTTACAGAGTAATAACATCGAAACTTTCACACGGAGAAAAGTTCGCGACTGATACAGTCGCTTCGACTTCGGTGCTGAACAAAGCTCCTCGTTGGTCGCCCAAGCATTTATCAAAAACTGTTCAACAAAGTGTTTAAGTGTTTTAACCTTGGTCCTGAATTGTTCTTTACCTTTGGACGTGAGTGAATTGAACTTAATTTTTTAAGAAGAGGCGAAAATAAAATATAAAAAAACGCTAAATCTACCTAGCAAACGACCCAATAAAATTAAATCGTATCGTTTCTTGGTATTATTTTAAATACCGAATTTTTAATAAATGCTCGACCAACGAAGAGCCTTGTTTAAACGTTCGTTAAATCAATTCGATAATTAAATTGTTTGCAGCTGATGGAGGAGTTCAAGCGTGCTCACCGAAAGATGTTCAATTCCGCGCAGCAGAAAGTTCATTTCTCCGATCAGCCGTCCGAGCAGGTAAGAGAACGATAAGCTTATTATCGTGTCGAAAAACAATATGCGACGAGTTCCCGAAAACGTGCTTCTTCGATCGATCGAAAGTCCATTATCGAGTGCGATACCTCCGCGCAACGATTGCAACATTGTCGTTCGAGCCACTAAAATTAAAATCTCGCGGTGCTTATTAAATTAACGAGCAACGGTGCACTTTTTCCGATTACAATTTCGCCGCTTACGACTTTCACCGTTTCCTTCTTTCGCCGACGAAGACGTTACAGCTTCTGATCGCTGAAAAGATCCCCGCTAGCGAAGGTAAAATTCCTCGTTAGATTACGGAACGATAGGCGCGCGCGCGATGGAAAAAGCGGAACTAAGGATACGTAAGCGAGCAATTAAAAAATCCTATTAGCAACACACTCGGAATCGCGACTCTGCGGCAGAGAAGCTTTTTCGATCGGGATTACGCTTAGCAACCGAGGCCAATTATGTATTGATATACAGGGTGCTCGAAACCTTCGAATGTGAAGGAATGTTTCGATCAGATTTTACGCGAGAACGTCGACAAAATTTTCCTGGCCTCTTTAATAAACAAAATAATTAACACGTTCGCTATCACGCATCGCATACCCGTGGGAGACCAACAGTCGCACAGTGATAATTTTCTATTTTACGCCGAGTATAAACAAACGAGTGTTACATTATGGGAGACAAACTATTCAAAACATTCCGCTGACTTATATAATACTATTTACTTGTACGTTGCGATGCTTGCTATTTTTATATTGGTTTATCATCCCTTAAAGTTTGGGGAGCTACCTGTAGTCGAAAGAGGCGGAACGAGATAAACAGCACACGAGCATCCTTCGTCGGATAATACGCGAACATTCTTACTCTGTTAATTACACAACCACGAAGATCTGGCAAAGTAAACAGATAAGGCCTCGAAATTACGAAGCCTTCGGTGCGGTTATTGTCTGCGCGGCGCGAACGAACTGCGCTTCCCTTGTGTTGGTGCACACGCTCAAGTGCACCTGAATTTACGTAGAAGCGTGTTATTAACTGTTATACACACGTACGCGGATCGTTGGAACGAGATAGAGAGCGATCTGCCGGTTATAGTCACGTACATTTCACCGTTTTGTCTCAGTATCTCAATCTCCGCGCGATAGAAAGCATCGACGGTCGTTCGGTCGCTGAAACCACTAAATCACTCCTTTAATTGAGACGTAATTAAGTGATTACAATACATTAACCGCGCGCGCTGAGGACAGCGAAGACTTTCTAAATCGAACCGTTTATACAGGCTATTTCATAGCACGTGGTGTCTATTCCAATAGTGAACAGGGGGCAGAAAAGCAATGTAAAAAGGTCGAGAGACAACCAGAAATTGTTGACAGTTTTGTGCAAACAGTTTGGTAGAAATTGATTAAGAATTAGCGGAGCACAAAAATGGCTATAACTTGAGAACAAGGTAAAATAGGGCACACGTTTACGTGAACTTTTTTCACTGCTTTTACGTCCTTTGTAAACCATTAAAATAGAAACTACGTATTATAAAATAGCCTATATGTCAACGAGCCACTTGATCGGGCGCCTATCAGTGATTTATCGTTCGTGATTTCGCGACGGAACGATCGGAATTGAATTGTTTCTAAGGTGTTCGATGTTCTACGGAAAGATAGAAATAATTGTGAATTCGATGAGTCATTATACAGAGTGTGTTAAAACTGATGGTCCAAACTTTGGGTACGCGTGATATCATCAAAGTAAACAGAGGAAGAATCCCCCCATCGTTTGGGCTCTTCTAGATCCATCACTGAGAGTAAAGAAAAACATGAACATTGATCTAGAAATCAACGATCATCGCAGCAGGTGCCAGAAGCGTTTTCCGCCTATTTCAATAGATGCGTCGAGATTTACATATACTCAGTGAATGAGTACAGTATTCATCAAAATAGACAACAAAGTACTCGATACGCGTATCCAAAATTTGAACCATCAATTTTCGTAGAACGTCACCCTAGTTCGCCTTGAGGGAGCAGTCTGGGGAATTCAGATCAAAGAATAGATGTTATAGGACTTTGAACAGAACTCTGTATCAGTGGCACACAATCTTTTCAATTACTGGGCCAAACAAAACGAAATGTGTGAACAACAAGTGTACGAAGAATGGCATAGATTCTGCAGAATAAGTTTAACACTTGGCCTTAATAAGGTTGTAGAAAATTGCATAATAGAATTTAGATTGCTATCTTTCAATTAGTTCCTGGTTTTGTTTACATTCTTATTCGCGACTAAACACCTTCTTTAAAATTGTAAATACTACCGGATACGAAAGTTACGTTTTACAAAGATTATTGTAGACATAGTACAAGCACATAATGATAAAATTTATCGATAACTAAATTAATCTCACACTCGCTGATAATGATAATGACTTCATGTTTACAAATACCGTAATACCCAACTTATTTACCCAGTAACAGAAATGTAACTAATAAAATGTTAACTATAATGACTCTTGAAGCAAACATCAGACGTAAGATCAAGATCTGCTGAAGTCTTTTTTATCTACCTCTAACCACGTTAGAAAATACAACTTGTCCCAGTCGCGTGGGGCATCCTGTACAGATAAGATTAGAATTAAGTTACTATAAAAGAACTGCATGGCCATCGACTGTCATTTCGATCCACTTATTCCCACTGATGAGTGAAAAAAAGAAAAATAACGAAGGAAGAGTAATTTTCGGACCCGATGTACCAGACTGCCCCCTTAAGTACACGTGCGTGCGGTCGTTCGTCGATTCCGCTTCTTCTTGCAAATTGCGGCAGACGTGCAAAATAATAGGAGGTTACGTAAGACCGCGAGCAACGCTCGTGACCGTTTTCAGTCGACTCGAGTCGCGTCGTGCGATCGGTTTCAAGGCGGTCGGGCGTCAGGATACCGCAAAACTGCGGAGGACCTCGCGCGGCTATGATTAACGAAAACGCCGGGTCGCGATCATCGTTCGCGAAACGCTGCAAAGTGTCCGCGTAATTCGGAAGGGAACGAACGTCTCGCGTCCTCGAATCCCGCGCGCTGAGCGATCCGTCATCGTGAACAGTGGATCGCAATCGGTTTCGATCGCCGCGAACATTTCCTCGAACCGTTAATTGACGCGGCCGGTATAATTTATACAAATTCGTCGGCGCAAAAACACGCTCGGAAATTAACCGTTATCGATCCATTAAAAAGAAGATCGCATCGCCGGCAGAATGGAAAGTTAATCGGGGAGTGATAGCTTTTTGAAACGCAGATGATGAACAATTTAATGAGCAACGGTGAACGGAGAAGGAGCCGCATCTTGGTCACCATCACGCCTTACGATGTTAGTTATCGACCCAATCAGTTCGCTCGATAGTTGGTTAACGTCTTTGATCGCGTGCAATTCGCGTACGAGAGTAATTAACATCGTGAGACGAAAAGTGCTGATAAGAACGTTCGAGCCTGTTATTTTAGCTGAAGTTTTAGCATAATTTGTAGACTGGTGAAAATTACAGAATACGTATTTACTAGTAGCTATAGAGACTGGTTTAACCTTTGGACGTGTGGAAAATTTGCGGTGAATACAAATCATTAATCATAATCCGCGTTTCCTACCGACGAACGATTCGATATTGCTACAAATTTTGTGTTTTTCAATTACCTATTTTATGAAAGTAATCTAATCTGTTGGCAAAGTATGGAAAGAATATTCTACTTCATTAAGTATTTTCATCGTCATCCTTGGTGCACAAGGCCTCGCTGTTATCATGCAATAAGATAGGCTTCCTATCTACTATTGCACTACATTAACTAAGCCATATTTGTTCCTGACGCGGGTTTCACAAATAAAACTTAAGTGACATAGCTTTTTTTAATCAGCGATTTGTCAATCGCGAATGACCGACTTCAAACGAGGAAAGTTTTAAATTACTTTCATTTTATCGTTTCCTGTAATATAACGCGTTTACAAAGTAATGGCCCGCATATCATAAACGAATCACATTTATCACAGTACTTTATTCGCATTGTTGGAGAAATATCTTCTCCTTTTTTGAATCTTATCTCTGACGGTTTTCAGCATCGTAAAGAAGTACATTCCTTTCATTTTATTACTGTTCTCTGTATCGTAACTTACGAAGCTACGATCCGTATATCATTAGCAAATACGCGATATCTATATAACTTCGTGCATGTGCTAACCTTCGTCCACGCAATTCCATTTCATTTCAAATTACCTCTAGGGATAACACCTCCCACTTTAAAGAACATTGTCCGCGCAAAGGAATTTTTCCCATTACCTGAATCTCGTTATGTCACCTGCAGGAACAAGAGAAGAGGGTTTTGAACGCATCGACGACCTCGAACAACATTCCACCGGCGCCCCCAGCACCACCAGTGGTACAACCAACACCTCCCGCGCCTCCTGCGCCACCAGCACCGCCGCCACTTCCTCTTCTAGCGAAGACCAAGAGCAACGAGGACTCCGTGGAGATGCAGAGCATCGAGTCCTTCAAGCTGAAAGAAACGCCAAATCCAGTGATTCCAAAGCCACCGCCCACCTACTTCCCCATACAAAACTCGACGACCACCGTGAACGGAAGTCCCCGACACACTGGGACCGGAAACAAACCACAGGTGAACGGTAAAGAGCCCTCGACGAGTCCCGTGTCGGAGACGCCCAAGTCGATCGTGCCGCCTCCGCCTCCTCTCGCTGTGAACGCACAAAACTTGAAGCCAGCGGGGGGGAAGGTCGCCATCAGGATAGGGGCGTACGAGGGTGAAGCCAAGCAGCCATCCAAGCTGGAATTCCTGTCCCAGCAGGCTCGCGTTGACAGGAACGGGACCAGCGAACTGGCGAACGGCCCGGTGGTGTCCAGGCTGCAAAACGAACTGGCTGCCACGCTGCAGAGATCGAACCTAAGAAGAAAGACTGACGGGGTAAGCTGTTCCCATGTTTATTATAGTTTTATCGAATCGAACTCACCGGTTGAAATCACCTCCATGTGCCTATGCGGCAGCGTAACCGTGTAACTCGAGGATTTACTGTAATCAAACAATATGGTTGGTTAATGATTACATATAAACACGAGTCTATAATTTTACTTACAATTGAAGTGTTTCGTGCATTATGCAGATGTCTCCTGCAATTTCCATAACAAATATCGAGAGCTTACAAAACACTTGAGTGGAGAACCGCGTCTTTGAAAGGAAACGGAGGCACTGGAAATTAAGTTAATAGTACACTTGTTGGGGAACAATGCGATTGTAATGCAGATAATAGTCGTGTATGCGAGACAGATGAGAGACCGACGTGCAGACAGTTCGAGTTTATGGCTAGAAATTTTCTGACTTTTGTTCAAACTTGTTTGCAGGAAGCACAACCAGGCATTAAGCCGATCCCCGAGAACGCAGCAACGACCAACAACGAGACAACGAATTCGGAGTTGCCGCAACCTGGCAAGTTGCCGCAGAGCAACATCGAGAAGCTCGCGTCCGCTCTGAGCAACAAAGTCACCATCAAAGTGAACCCGGATCATAATAATCGATAAAGTACCTAGCTTTCGTTTAAGTCGGACGAATCGATTAGGAAAGTCCACCTTGTACCTCTGCCACAATGTACATTTTTGCACGCTCTTTTGAAACCCTACATCGATTATATTCTAGACGAAAGAGCGCTCCCCCTATTGGCGAGCTTCTTTTTTACGTCTTTTACCCGTACGTCTTTTTTTACATGTTATTTATTATCGTATTATAGTGATTAAGGAGAACCTTAAAAAAACCGGCTAATAATCCTTATTAACCGAGACAAGGCACTGCGGAAACTTTTACCACGTAGGACCGGGTCTTTAAACTTAGTCCCCTCTGTCGCTGACTTTCTGTACGAGTCGTGATACTCGATAGAGGCATCGAACTGAAAAATAAAGACACTGATATAAAGATTCTGCGTTTCGATTTATTCCCGTTAACGTAGAGAGTAGATCCCCTTACTGTGAATCGCGTCAATCTTAAAATAAAAATTTCTGAACACCCTCTATCTTCGATCCGTCGAGAAGTTGTTCGATCATTAATTTTCACAGATCTGTTTATTCGAAACTCGTTAACCTCTCACGAGCGAACATCGGTCGGTTCGGGGCTTTTGAAAAATTCTCCGGTCGCGTTGAATCCCGTACACGACTCGTCCAAACGATCCTGCTCCCCGCGCGTCGAAGGAAAATTGTACTTCATGAATACGTCGCGCAAAGCTCAGACGCCCAGACGTCGAACGACGCGTCGAGAAACGGAGCACAACAGGATTCGGAAGCTGCTGGCCTCCGAGTACTCCGACTTCTCGGATATCGTTCTCGTGGAATCTCCGTTCGCGGAGACCACCAGAAACGGACGCGGAATCCGTCAGGTTTCTCTCGGTCTCACGCCGTCCAAATTGATCGTGGCCGCGGACGTTTTCAAAGGCAACACCGAGTACTTCTGCCCGCGCGGCCTCGATCCCAGCATCGAGAGTTTCGAGCTGATCTCGGTGTATCCTTTGCAGTACGTTACCCTGAGCGTGTTCAGCAGGAGACACCGCAAAACATTAAAGGCAAGGTAGACAGTTCGTTGATAAATACGGCCCGGTACGCAACGTTTAACGGTAACATCGTAGTCGCGCGGATTATTGTTTTATATCTGACCGACGTTGACGCGATTAGATTCGTGAACGGAAGGACCAACTATTACGAGCTGGGCGGTGTACAGAGGAGACAGATTTTCTGGATGAAATGGCGGGAGGAAGTGGAGAGCTTGCTGGCCAGAAGGATGGACAGGAGCTCGTTGTCGGAGACCACGGCCGCGAGTTCTTCCAGCTCCACGACGTTGTACGTTCTCTCCTCGGGGATCGAGATTCGAAAGGAGGCTAAAACTGACGGGAAAATGGCAGTGTGCAGGTTATATTTCAGGGTAACGGTATATAAACTTACTTTAAGGTACTAAAACGTTTAATACGTACAGAGTGTGGACACACTACGGCGGAGCTGGCGATTACTCGTCTCCGACTTGGACTCGAAAGGATCTGTACCTGGGGCGCTCTTACAACGAGTTGTCCAGTGGCATGTACGCTCCAGTTCCCGTGCGATTCGCTGGCGCCAGCTTGGAGGACATAAAAAACGAACTGAAGGATTTCTCGCCGAGCAAAATCGAGAAAGTCAGCCGCAGCTGGCCGACGTGCCAGTGTTTCGAGAAGAAGGATCAAAACGACGGCCTGTGCGACGTGTTGTTCATCAGGGACCACAATCGTAAATACTATAACACGAGCAAGTTCTTTGCTATCTGCCAGAGCTGCCCTCGAAATCGCGCGAACGACGACAAGTGTAACGAGAAACGTAACGTGTGGTACGAGGACGAGGCGCTGGAAGTTACCTCGACGAAAAGGGACAAGGACGAGCGTCGTGGAAAATCGAAATGTGCTACGAGATGTTTGGCAGGAAGGATATCGCGTTTTGGATTCGGTGTACCGGAGAAGTGTCATTCGGGGCTGGTACTCAGAGATTGCAGCCGCGCGAAATCGGAGGCGAAGAAAGCGCAGAATTTCTACGTTCTCATGGAGGAAGGCGTGAAAGTGTGGGAGAGCGAGGGAAAAAGACGTTGCAGATCCACGAAGCGTCCCAGACATTTCAGGAGATACGGCCTTTGCGCGACAGCGCATTTTCTACGCTCGTTGGGGCCTTGGACCGTTCAACCTGGCGAACGAAGCTGCCTCCAAGGACGCAGATCCTTCAGCCAGGTCACCATCCGTCGACAGCCAAGCGATATCGAGCTGAGGCTTCCGGTGTCGAGGCGCCAGCTAGCAGCCAGTATTTCTTACACTGCTCTTCAATCAGGTAGCTTTGGGTCTATCGGATCTACGGCGAGAGGACGCGTAGTACTGTTCTGGACACCGGAATACTGGTACAGACCCAGACCTGCCTCTGCTGCCTACAGGTAGTAACCACAGATGATATCCGGATCGCGATCGATCCTTATCAATTGTATTGCAACAGGGAACTGAGGCAGCACTTGAGCCACCTGAGAGATTATCGGCAGGAGAAGGAACGACCGTCGAAACGGAAGTTATTCTGTAAGAGGAGAAAATGCCAGTGCGAGGAGGACCCCATCATCGTGGCGGAGGAGAAACCTAGCTTCTTAGAACGGATCTTCTCTGGGAACGGATCCGGCAAAAAGAAAAAGAAATACGAGAATCAAGAGAACAGTACCACGGATCAGTTGAGAAGATTGCTGAGAATGGATTTCAGGATCACCATCTGGGACATAGACAGCTCGACTCTGGCCAACCAGCTCACCCTGATCGATCGCGATCTCTTCGTTCGAATTCCTCCGGAAGAGATCGAGATCTTGGTGTTTCAGAGAAGCTCCAGGAACGCTTGCAACTTGGCCGCGTGGATAGCGTTCAGTCACAGGGTGTCTTGCCTCGCTGTCAGCGAGATTCTCGCGATTAAAAAGTTAGGCGTCAGAACTAGAATGATCGCGAGGCTCGTGAACGCGGCCAGCAAGTGTTTCGCCATGGGAAATTTTCATTCGTGCAGGTCTATTCTGGCTGGGCTGCAAGCGCCTCCGATTTATAGGCTGAGAAGCAGTTGGTCTTACTTACGCGTCCATCATGCCAACAGGTATGATGTTCTTTAAACAGATAACTTTGTTCTCAGAGCACGCTTAAGTAAATCCTTACTGCGTACAAGCTACGATCTTTGTCTTCTAATATTTCCTTACATTCTCTCGTGCAAATTATTTTCACGCTTATAGGTACGACACCATGGAAAGGCTCTGCAAGATTTACAAAAGTCCATGTAGCCTGGCGTATCGACGAGCTTGGACCAAGGCAGAAAGCAAAGCACCTTCTATGCCATACGTTGGTGACTTAATAGACCAAATCCTTGGCTTGACTTGCATGGAGTGCCATCAAGACAACGATAGCTTGTACGCAGTACCGGACAAAGCGATTCGGGAACGCTCAAAATATACAGGCTCGGTTAACGTAAACAAGGATGCTGTAAGTCTGAAAAGTAACGAGGATTTAGAACAGAAGCATGGTTTAGGTAAACGTATCCTGGTGTCTGTCATCGCCAAAATGAAATATAAAAAAAATCAAATGACCATCTACGAGGAGGAAAGTGATTTGTTGTGGACGTCGAGACAGCAGGATTTAGCATGGAAGTATTTTTACCGTTGGAATAACATCGTCCTGAAACGCAGGGCTCTTGCGAAGGAACAGGAACGTTTGAGGGATATGGAGCCAAGGATGAAACTGGTCCTCGATGTCGTGTCCTGGCTGACGGATTGCCAGAGACGCGCTCGTGGATACGATTTCCCAGGACACTCGTTTACGCGGGAATTTCTGTTGAAAACTCGATACAGAGAGGATCGAGAGAACTTCTTCATTAGCCTCAAACTGGAACCATCGAAGATAACTTGAACGAGAGTATTTAAATAAATTGGCAATACATTATCATTAATGGAAAGGAAGAGGAAGACAATGAAGTGGATTCTTACGTAATTATTAATCTTCTTAGTAGAATCGTTGACATGTGTAAAAAAAGATATATAAAAATTTCGTCTATATTAATGATTAAGTCTTCTGTACGAATGTTCAGGTATTTTCAACGTAATGGACTTCAGCGTATTCCAAGGACAATCCATTGGCATCGTTAATCTCGTCAACGACGATGAGAGGTACACTGTGTTCTATAATACAACAATGCAGTAAGTAAAACGTACAAACGATGAGCAAATAAAAGAAACGTAAAAGAATTGTAGAAATTAAGTAAATTTATATATATATATATATCTATATGTATATATATACACACACATTTTATATACATCAATCGCTTACTGGAACAGTGTATCTACATGTGCTTTGTACTTGCATACTTATTATCGTTTTAATAAAAATTTCTGATTCACTTGTACAAGATTTCCTCGGAATCTTTTTACAATTAAAGATAACAGATTTCTTCATCATCACTTTATTCCGAACATAATATATGTTTATATAATTGTTGCTATACATATGTACGTATAATCTTTCTATTAAAATTCAATCAGTCGTAAACTTAAAAAATGAGTGTTCGCGATGGGCGGAAGAGTGAGTCCCGAATGGAAAGATCCATATCAAATTCTTGACTAGATAACAACGCAATCATCGTATGTACAGTAATAAAAACATTCATAATCGGCGGTAAAAAATAAAGGGGAACGACTACAGAAATTATCGAAATACGTAGAACAAGTGGGAACAGTCTTTTTCTGGCACGATGTTAAACGTGGTCCTCCTACGATCGATCGATCGCGATCTATAGGAGCGGTAAAATACTCTGTTTCGTTAAAAAATATAATCTATTACTTTCCAAGAAGAGTCTGTGTTCGAAAATGTGCTCGACGACAGATTGCCGTACGATGACTGTTCTAACGCCATTTAGTTCGTTTCTTAGTTTCTGTAGTACAATACATGTTTTAGAACAAACGTTTGCGTTCACGATCGATAATCTAACTCTGTTGCCGCCTTACGTATACTCCGATCGCGCGTTATGCGATCCTCGCGATCTTACATTTTTTTTTTTTTTGTTTTTATCTTTTTATCCATTTAATTTATTCGATAACCGTACGTTCCCGTTGCGCTACGAAAAACGAAAAATCCAAGCGTGTCCCGGTGAGAGACGACTTCCCTAAAATTTCGAATGAAAGTGAAATGCGCTTACAAATGCACTGCATCGAAAATGCACGATAGCAACAAGAGTTATCACGAACGAGTATATAAGGTTTTACAAGACCAAGTTCGAGGTACGCTATAAATACAATAAATCTCGTAGAGTATCAAAAAGAAGTATCTAGGATATCGTCGGAGTTTCTAATGTAATGTTCACGCGCGTAACCGTGTTATAATTTCAAAAAACGATTCGATCGTCGTTTTGATAGTCTTGATAATACTATTTGTTTTGAGGCCCATCGTCGATCAAAAACAGTAAGCTCCCGGTCAGAGGTGAACGAGCGAAACATCGAGTCAGTCGTGAAACGTAGACAGGCGTTACGTAGGGGGCTTACGCGAATACCGTGTATTCCCTAAACGCTTCTAATCTGTTGGTTTTTGATCGGCTTGAGAAGAGGTACCTTGTTTATAATATACATCTGTATAGTTCTTTCGCTATTATTAAGATCACATGCCGCCTGGTTTCGGAAGATTTGTGTCGTAAGCTCTGATCACATCCGTCTGAGTCACCGAGCCTCCTTCCTCTTGAGAGAATGCAAATCCATCTGCATGGTGCAGCGTGTGCAATAATAAAGATCGCAACCTATTAGTCTCTGTTGTCATAACACCAAAATAGTCAACATACATGCAAGATCTACAGGATTATTAGTTTTGAAGCTAGAACGATATTCCTTGATAGTCACTCATATTATAAGGAATTAGTTTCACAAAGGCAGAAATGGACAATTTTTGTCTACAAGATTAAAAATTACAAATGACGAATAAAAGACAACCTTATATTCGTTATTTGAATTTTATAATAAAATGTTGCCCATCTCTGCACGAAAGATTAGTAGGAATTGAAAGACTCTTTGAGAAGGGATTGTTAGTCTACGCTAAGATCTAGTAACATATATGTACACTGTTCAGACATGTGATAGAAACTAGTGCAAGTGCGTTTGTCGTGGAATATTATTCGTCTATCGAAAGACTGCCTTTTATCTAGAATTGAACGAAAGCCGTGGAAGATTGAAGCGCGTGCCTTTGAACATGTTTGTTAGAAAGAAAAAGAAGGTACCGTACGACGAGATTAGAAAAGAAAGAATCTGTACAATCTGATTCGCTTGGAAGTATTTCATGTTTGCTGTTAGTTTTCCTTCTCAATACCAGCCTATTCGTGTAGACAAAACAACTTACGTGATAGCTCCACCTCGACATTAACTCTGGAGGCGGTGTTCGATCGCCTGGTGAAAACACTTTTTACGTTTTTCAGTAGCCGTGCCGTCTCCGTCAATCTGCAAAGCCGTGCATCCAAAAATCGTTTTAGAAACCCTCGACAGACCATTGGCCGTCCTCATTAAATCGTATTATCGGATATTATTTTGCCTCGAGAACTTTTTCGAATCGATGATCTGTTAAACTGTCGCGCGTTGCCTTCTCTTGACAATCTATCTGATGATTAACTATCTATAGTGACTCATGCGGTGCGATTGTTGCTGAATAATTTGCGGTGCGCGACTTTCCTAATGCCTCCTTCCGACCTTCCATGGAAAATAATCATGCCGAGATTCTGTTCAGATTCTTGAGGCTTTCACCGCTTGGGTTCTTGCAGTCGCAAACTATTCGAAATAACCGTGTCCTTTCCGGAAAGAGGATTTCGACATCGCCGCCAACGTCGCGGACGGCGTTACCAAATGTTTGAGAATACCGTGGAATATTTACATTCTGAAGAACCGAAGTGTGTTCTCAGAGTCCAAGAACATAGTTTAAAGACAAACAGTCTCGATGCGATTCTTACAACCTCAGTGTACTCTGAGTAATCTTGAAAGTCCCAATATGGTATCCATAATCCTTCGATTACGCGGTTTTAACTGTGTTTACTCTTATGTCCTCGGAATGAAACATCATTCGGCAAAATTATTTTCCACGTGGTCGCAGCTTACACCTTACACCTTACACCTTACACCTTACATCGTATACCTGGAAGCTCACAGTTTTAATTTAATCGCCATGCAACACCTTGATACAGGAAAGAGTGTTAAAGAAGCGTGAAGAGTATTAAAGACTGCGAGTGGAATACGTGATAGCAGTTGCGCATACCCGCGGTGCACTCGCTAGCGAAACGCTGAACGATCATGCGGTTTGATTAACTAGCAGTGCTTTCGCCGGAAGGTGCAAAATTATAGGAGTGCTACGAGTTACGTACTACTAGGGGTACTTACACCTCGCGAGGTCGGCGATGGCATGCACAGGCCTTCACGGGATACCGCGAATAAAACATACCAGAAAACCGTATTAACAAACAGTACTTCCTTTTGTGCCAAGTAGTTAGTGATCCCCAGCGGGAGAATCGGTTTATTCCCAATATAAAAATCTGTACTATTTACATTGTTTCTGATTACGCCTTATTCTACAGAAGCCTACGTGTGTTAAACGAAATGTAAATTAACGTGCAGGGGTTAAACGATAAAACGTAATTATGTAAACAAAATCATCACTGCGTATGTACGCGTAGTATTTTTTTGTGGAAGCCTGGGTATCTGCACTGCTATTTACAAATATAAATATCGCTTATTAATTCCTACAACAAATAAGGGATAATTAGGTGTGTGCACAACGTTGTGGTAGGATTAATTACTAACAGAGTGAAACGATGAATCGAGTAAGAAATAACATAGGAAATATTATTGTTAATGATAGAAATGATATGTGGTAGCCCAAAACAATTCCTTAACCTTAGAACCCGATTTTACTTCTAATAGGTAGAAGAAGAAAACATTGTATGCCTTATTTGTATATAAATATGTAATAGACTTTGTACTACATAGGTACAAAATTAGTTATAATCACAGCGACATATAAATATTAGGTAACAAGTACGAAACAGTAAAAAAAACTTCAAGGATAGGTAAAGAGGTAATATGTTGGAATGCTTACTGGATCCAGATTAGGTGGGAATTTGTAGAAATTCTTTAGGGTCTTGGAATACGGAATGGTGCAGACGAAGCATGCTCAGTATGATGGGTGAGCCATAAATCACGCCAAACGAACGCAAGTGGGAAGATTCTGATCTTATTACGCCTTCGCGGCGACCAAATCGAGAACCAACGCCAAATTAACCATCGCCTCCTCGAACGTGACTTCGACCACCTGTTGTAATATTTATTTTTCTACTGAATGGGAATCCAATAAACATCAACCGTATTGTTATTAAGAACTTTAGCGGCGTTATTAGCTGTGACTTTATCGCCTGATAAAAAATTGCTACAAAAACAAATCATAAATATCACTTCAACTAACGTTAAAACGATACACTGCGATGTGCATGCACCTAAGTGTTCGTTTTATTAACAATGAATTTTGAAAATTTAATAGGAATCTGAATTTTCTTTTTTTACAAACACGAATTGCTAAAAAAAATTACACCCAATAAGCCATGCATGTTAAAAAATAATCAATGTATTTTTTGTTAATCTACCAATACATCATGCAATGTGTACACTGTCGCATGTTTGTTATTTGCCAATTTGTAACATTTCTAAAAAGTACGACCGGTAACTTGTAGATATTAATTAGTAAGTGTAGTTTCTCGATCCATGTACAACATTCATTAAACATTAGAACCTAATGCGTTTGTATGACGGAATTTGATCTTTGAATGATAACCGTTTGTGTAATACTGACAGATCGTATATAATAATAATAAAAAACACTTACGAGCTTCTATAATCATGGCTGTTAAATATGTCTCCAGGGTCGGATTTCCGGATTTCATTTTCTCTAGCAGCCGCGGTTACAGACTTCCACACTGTATTCTTCACTCTGGAACAGGGTACATTTGGCATACGTTTATAGAACACCTAAGAGATTTAAACTGGTTAGATAATATTATATTATAATAGATATGTACTTACGCCTTAACTGTAACATCCAAAAGCAATACTGCTAACGGTATAAGTACCAAACCCAGCCAAAAGACAGGCGAAGAAAACAGCATTCTATCATTGCCTAACATTACGGCACCCACATTGAATGTAGGCCAAAAGTTACTGAAAACACACAAATTGTTAAGGATATCTTTGACTATCTTCAACACAAACAACGTAATAAAAATAAGTCGCAAAATTTACCTATATATAAGAATAAATAAGAACCAAAGCAAAATAGATCCCCATGTTGCTAAATGAGTGACCCACGTCCAAGAATTTATTATTAAACCTGCCTTTCCGCACACTGTCACTACAACATACTGTTAACAAACATAAATGTTATTACTTGTCCTTTAAAAAAATCGGCTTCATTAAAAATCGATAGTGTACCAATACTATCGTGTAATTTGAAACGTACAGTATACACAAAATTTCCCAAGACGATGTAACCACCCTCTCTACCGTTTCCCCATATTACGTCCTCTTTTAGAGCCATTAGTGATAACCAATAAAGCAGAGATGAATGTATTAAAGCGTTTATGATCCATACCCAAAATACCTAAACAAGTAAGGAATACTTAAATTTTATACAATACAGCATTTCACGTCCAATTAAATATCATCGAAGAAATAGTATAATACCTTAATATTAAATGACGACTCTCCAGTATTCTTAGTAGCATATAATCCCGGATGAGCTAAATGAGTTTCTGCTGAACATACTTTATCAAAAAGTCCCATAGCTAATGGAGGTGCTGCTGTAAATACCTAATGTAAACGATGTACCGTCATTTATTTGTTGCGCTATAACAATTGTATTAGAATGAAATAAAATTACAACGCGACTTACAACATTGTAGAGACCGATAGACCATCTTTCAAAAAGGATTTGCCCGGACCAGCCGGAATACATAGCAAACCACAATTCAATTACATACAGACAAATATTTTTGTAAAATGAGTATAATATCAGTTTACACATTCTACTATAGTTCCAAGAACCATGAACAAACAATAGGCGTTTCAGAAAACGAAACTGTGCGATAGAATAGTCAGAAGCACAGGCTGCTTGAAGACCTTCAACGCCAGAAATTCCTAAAGATACAAAACCACAAAATGTATGGTACATATTCCTTTTTATTTCTAACAAAGCTAAAATACTATGAATCTTACCAACGCCAATATGGGCTTTCTGAATCATTGCAACATCGTTTGCGCCATCTCCGATCGCAAGCGTCACGGCTTTTTTATTACTTGTAATTAAATCAACTACCTAAAAATAATTTCTATGTTAAGGACACAGTAATATGTACACTGCGAATTTTAAAAATTATAAAAATCACCTCAGCTTTCTGCATTGGTGAAACTCTGCAACAAATAACAACTTTGCAAGATGAACATAAATCCAGAAAGTCCATTCTAATATCACAGGATAATGCAAAATCTAATGTATTTCCATCTATAATAAGGGCTACTTCATTCTGGCATTTTAAATCGATCCCGAAATCGAGGCAGCGTTGTATTATAACCTCTCTCGTTTTCTAAAAGTGTATGCCGATTTCAATAATGTTTGCAAAGTAAATTTATGTGAACGAATGTAATCTCATTATTTTGTCTTACATCTAATGACGACTCATTAATAATGTACAATGGCATTCCATGTGTAATCAATCTACAGGAGTAGCCAATATTAATGGCGGTCTCCTGCTTATCCCCAGTTAATACCCAAACATTGATATCAGCTTGTAACAGTGATTGTATCGTTTCTGGTACCTTAAATAAATAATCATTTATTTTTAAGAATATGTGTATTCAATAAAAATTATATACCTGATCCTGTAACTGATCTTCAATTGCAGTGGCTCCTAACAATCTTAATTTTGTTTCAATAAGATTTGCTGCATTATCGATCATTTTCTCACGATTCCCCAAACTGATTGTTGCCGTATGATATGTTTCACGCCACCACTGTTACAGAAAAAAAACAATTCATCATGTTATTCGTGATTTAATACAGTAAAACGAAATAACAAAATAGAAATAAGTAACACATACTTGATAAAAATTGTCAGGTATATCGGCAACAGCAAAACAAAGTGTTCTTAAACCTTCAGTTGCAAATAATTCCAAATGTTCCAGTGTTGCATCTCGGAAATCGTCTAAGCTAACCTGATCCGGATCGCTATTTTCCACAGGAGCCGGGCATAGCCTTTCGTAAATAACGGAATCAGCTCCTTTGCAAAAAAGTTTGATTTTTCCTTCTGGCGTTTTTACGATCAACGACATTCTTTTTCTAGCCGACGTGAATTCTATTACATTCAATACGTCATATCGAAGCCTTTCGCCCAAAGTTACTATTTCCACATAACTTGGCGTTCTAGTATCGAATACATAATTAAATTTACGCGCTCCATCTACTAATGCTCTTTCATCTATGAAATGAGACAAAAATAATACATACAAGATTAAAACACGAACAGTGTTTTACAGAATGCTTATTTGTGAATTAATAAATAACCTGGAGATGCAGCATGGTAAATTATAGTATCATCTATCTTTTCGGGAATAACAGTATGACATACTGATAGCAGAATCATAAACTCATGCACTACTGTTGCATGGTTTGCAATTTTCTTATCACCGGGACGAGAAGAATCTTGTACAGCTCTTCCTTCAAGTATGTCTTTAACTAGTTCATTGTTAACACTACTACCACCCTCATCGTCATTTAAAGGATTTGGCAAACTGCAAGACACAACCGTTTGAAACAAAACTACGAGGTTAAGTATGTGATAAGGTAAGCGATATAATTTAAAAAAACATACTCGTATATTTTACCACCAATTGAACATCGTTTAAATTCCATTACATTTTTCGTAAGTGTTCCAGTTTTATCAGTGAATACATAATTAACCATACCAAGCTCTTCGTTAAGATTACTGGTACGAGCCATTGCAGGAGTATCTGTTTCTGCATGATACATTTCAATGTCCATATTAATGAATGTAGCTTGAACAAATCTCACAACTTCCAACGTGACTTGCAATGAAATTGGTATCAAATTGTTAAATAAAATAATAAATGTTAATAAATTAAAAGCAAAGTTCTTAGTCATTTCCTCTGAAATAAATAAATGATTATTTAATTTTCTAACTATAATATGAAGAAAAACATAAATCAATTAATTAATTTCACACCTTTTAAACCTAAATACCATAATCCGTCCTTGTTAGCTTTTGTCCACAAAACATTAAACACAGCAGATAGAACACACAGCAAAAGAAGTATAAAGAATAACATGAGTATTTGTGTATTGGTCAGTCTGTCTAAGGTCGATCTTTTTAATGGTGCAGTTGTAGTATTGTTCTGCATAAGTTTTGTATCATGTCCTGTATAAATTACCACACCAAATACCCAACGCGTATTCCGTAGCATTGCACCGCGAAGCAGTACTTGATCGGGTCCCAAAGCTACGCTTCTACAATTGTACAAATATGTTACCTTACGAAGTGGTAATATTTTTTAATTTTTATAAGAAAAAAGAATCATACTGTTTATTAGTTTCCCGTAACACTCCATTAAATTCGTATAGATGCCTGTTTGGTGCTTCACACTGGACATTTGCATGAAGATTCATTAATTCTGCAGTATCCAAATAACTGGCAGTATCAGGATGGGCTTGCCGGATTTTCAAGTTTGTCTCCCCATCCAAATTGGCAGTCTCTATGAAAGACATACCCTGTGGTTCTGATGACGATAATAAGATCAAATCAGCAGGGAAGAAATTATTGTTGTGGACCTACATAAATTAAAAAAGAAAGAAACCAATTCTAGCAAGAGTGTATTAATCATTATCACGTTAATAGATCTAGTAAAACTAGTGTACAACCTTAACCACATCGCCAACTGCAACATTTCTCCACTGAATCCATTGCCATTGACCATTCCTCAAAACTTCCACTTCTCTCATGTTTATTTCATCGTCTGCTCTGTGCCTTTTCTGTAATAGAGAATACTAATACAACATATTTTATTAAACAAAAGGAATGTTACAATATAGAATACTTACAATGTCTTCAACTATCTCTTTCAATGCAGATACACTAAGAATAAAAATTAATGGAACTAAAGTTGTGTATCGTCCTGTTGGTGACACATCTGGTATTTGCTAAATTTAAAATAAAGAAATATAAAAGCACTCGATAATTTGTAATATTTCTATTATATAAAATAGGGAAATGTATCTGTATTTTAAAAGTACCTGCATAAGAGCAATGAACAGGAAGAAGCAATTACTATATCGCCGAAATTGTTCAAAAAGGAACATAGGTATGAACGAAAGAAATGAATATTTCGCAGTGGAAATGCGATTGTTTTTATATTTCGCGGGTTGATGAGGGGCATTAATAAAAACCACCCGTTCTTCATTGTTATCGTGTTGCCGTGAGGAGCGTTGATCGCCACCTTGAGACCCGCCATTTTCCGCTCTTATTGGACCAACTACATAAAAAAAAATAATGATTTTCATTATACAAACATAATTTGTCACCGTTTGCTATTATTGCTTTCTTAAAACTTCAATATCGTTGCAATATTAATTCGTTATAGATAATTCGAAAGGTTTCGTAAACGTTCAAACGATTCGAAGAACTGTGCTAATATTTGATCAAAATTGTTATCTAAAAAAAAAAAAACAACGTTATATTTCTTCTCGGAACTTTACTTTTCTTATTTGATTACGATAGTCACGTACATGTTACACGTCTAACCCGATCACTTGTCTAAGTATATTATTTTTTTGATACATTAACTTACGATTTTGAGCGTGCAAATAAAGTTGAATGCGGGAACTGAGTTCGTTGTACCATTGTATCACCTTAGTACGCACTATTTCCATATTGGTGTTTGCTAAATTAAACGTCTCTCACATCACTTCGTCGATTCGAATCATACTTAACCAACGATAAGAAAACACTGTACAAAGATATACTAGCGCAGTACAATGTTGATAAAGCATTGACAATAATACATACAATCTAGTGATTTCAAGATTATAGCGATAAGGATTTTATAATTCGTTCCGAACAAATTTCATCGACCGATAAATTACGTGAGTCAACTTTACGTCAACCACGGCAAGAAACATTTTGTTACGTTATCCAAGAACAAAATGACATATTTGACATGATTCGGAAACGTGTTATCATCTTCGAGGTTATAGCTGTGTATTTAAGGAAGGTTCCATTAAAATGAAATGGTTTATTGCGGTCAGTGGGGATCACATCATCCGGGGAAAAATACTTGGTGAAAATAATCCCCGTATACCTTAGTGTGTTGGGCCGGTTTAAAATACTTTTGATGCGACTATATTTGCGTACGTTACGACTGGAAAAAGAAAACCGTTTATGTCATCACATAAAATTATATTCGTGATATAAGCAATGCAAGGTGATTGTATTAGCAGAGAATGTTTAACCACACGGGCACACACAATACTGTGATAAAGTCCAATTTCGAATCAACTTAATTACAGACCATGCCAAATTACACATTTTTAAAATCGATGGTCTCTCAAGGTCATGGGTATGTTACTACAAACAACATGTGCTAACATAAATATTATCACTTTGTTATAATCACGCGTTACACATTGTTACTGATACGATATACTACGCTGGATCACATTACAGGGAACAAAAAACGTCACTATCAAATTTCAATATACACCGACCAATTACGATGCTATGCATACATCGTTTCGCGACACGAATCCAAGCAAAATATTTGTGCTTGTGTATCTCACAGTTTTTCAACGCCAATCATTGTATAATAACTTCCGGCGATATATTATCTATCTGTACGTCACCACTACTGAAACAAGTTGTATAACAAGTACATGAACGAAATTGGAAGTGAGACAACAGCCTGCTCGAACAAGGAAAATAACAATTAAATGGAATTGAACGGAAAAACAGGAAGTAACGACCTATACTAAATTTAAGAGGCGGATATCAGTAGAACGAGTACCCTCAGATATGCATCTTCGTTCGCTATTGATCAGGTAGTAACGATCGAAATTAATCTCCGATATTGTTTTGGCATCTCATAAACGATTTTTCAACTTATATAGATGGTCAACGTTCCTGCGAAACACGTACATACGCACTGTCACCACGAAACAGTAGTTAACGTACATTAATAGTACGCTTTATCCGCCCGAGATAACGATCGGTTAAACAAACTACATATCTGCGTCATTGTGCCGGAGTGAGCTTCGCGTATCTCGCCACACCCCTGTTGACTCGCAGAACCACGAATATGAGTAAATACAGACTTATAGATCGATGCACAAGAAACAACGTCAACCGAAACTAAACATTCGTATAAGTTCTGAAACTGAAGATTCCTCTGCTCATATCCCGCTTGCAAATTTGCTCGCGATACACTGATTCGAGCCCGTAGGTGGCACTGGATATACAGTGGCTTCTCCGCCGTGGTATATGTGACCCTCATAGATTGTCGACAATCGAATAATTCATGGATGCTATTTACGATACTCATACGATACTTATTTCAGACGTATCTTTTTAATAAACTTTAACATCCGGCATTAATGAATTTCTACTGGCACAAATGGATGGAAAAAGTCGAATATGTTGTTGCAGCTATGAATAAAGTGTTTGGAAAAATGTACGGAAACGTAATAATGCGATTAAATGCATCAATGTCTTCGACATAAAAATTGTACACGTTGGATCAACGTGATCGCAATACTGGAAATGAGATTTGTAGAAGGCACGGGTTTCGTAATTGTTTGATACAACACTGAGGAGGGGGTGTCCACAAAATGCGACAGCCCTGCACACGTGCTACCCCGAAAACGCATGCGCTTGCAGCCGGCAACAAGTTGATGTCAGCACCGTGCTGTACTCCACTGGCACTTGCCGCGTATACGGGGACGTGTACGGTAAGGTTGCGTCAATAAACAACCACGATGTCCGTAGACTACGGGCCAAGGACAACTCCGCTGGGGTGGCTCCACACGAGGGATATCAAACCTTATTGGACAATCCGCTCACGCTACTTTGATAGAGGTGCAGCGCTTCGATGCGTTCGCAAAGCGTGACGCATATAGGAAAGCTATGAAACGAGCATCAATGCGATACAAACTCATGAATATTTAAAATTCCTTTTCCGATTTAGCTGATGTCTATCCCATTCTTTGGAAGTAATTATCATCAAATAAGGAAAACGCATTTTAACACAAAAAATGTTTCTTAATATTAAACCTTTAACCTTTAACGTCGCGCGTGTAGATATCATTAATTTCATCGATGTCTATCACTTTTACAACATTGTTATAACAGTGAAAAATGTTTTATCTTGACAATATTGATCAGCCGCGGTACAATAATCCATTTATAGACCGCCTCAATATTTCCCTGACCTATGCGTCTTTAGTTTAACAACGATCACTCCACTTCGACTCTGTATCCAATGATAGTTTCTACCTCGTTTTTAATTCTTGCTGTGCAGTCACTACTATCGACCATAGAAACAGTTTACAGGCATCGAGTACAGAAAGCATTATTAATACATAGGATGATATCTCACCTTCGGAACTCGACACGGGCGGCCCAGCCTCCTGCAACTCGATGTGCTCGCGTGTCCTTCGCCGTCCGCTCGATAGAGGGTCTATTCGTAGGCCGATATTGTCAACGTTGTCGATACTCCCCAGATCGATGGGACTACCAATTATATAAGGCCCGGGCTGTTCCTGCTTTCCGTCGTTGCCACGGCCACTGGCGGATGAGAAACTGCTACGAACACCGCTGCCTTGCGGGGGTGTACCGTCCATATGAGGTATGGAAGAGAGATCCGGAGGTGTGAAAGGACGCAACGAGCCAGGACTGGGAACCCGGGGGCTCCCCCTGGCAGTTGGTTGCATTGAATGCAGCGGGGCCTAAAAGCAGTTAAAATTGGTTAATGCAGACCGCGGTCATAACGGATGTATTAGGTTTAAGGAGACAGAATCTGCGAACAGTCTGAATGGATCAATTGATAGACCGGTTATCCAGTCGTTGATACGGTTCAGGTTCAAAGCCCGGTTAAACAATCCAGTTTGAATCTTTTTCTCTCTAGAGAGGTTTCGAGGATCGGTATATCGTGTTTTGAATTTTAAGCGTGCGTGACCGAGTACGGTCACGGTCGCCTGGATAGTCGCACTCTATGCGGCAGCCATTTTTCTCAGCGGTGGTTATCCGAACTGCGTGAATTACGGTTATTTGGTCGTACGGTCAGAAATGTTCGCAGTCGAGATATAGAAGGGATACATTACGAACTTACCCTCCCGCCCTTTCATTATCAAATAATCAATATTTTATCACATATTATCTCAGTAGTATAATACAAAACGTACGTAAAAAAGGAAGCCGTCATACAATTTATTTTATTGAATATTTCCTTTCTTTGAACTTCGATCAAAGCTTCCTTGGTGAAAGCTGAAAACTTCTGATATTCCGCCTCCTATTTCTTATTAGCATAGAAAGTAGATGTTACTTATGATCTCGATCAATACCACATCGTACGTTTTCACACAAACAGACGTATAACTTGTTTGGTTTATAACAAAGATGGGCAAAATTCCATTCGAATAATCGATAACCACCAAGACTGACGTGTGCTAATTTATTCCTGGCGTTTATTTGATCGAACAATTAAATTTTCATCTGTTCGTTAGGAAATATTCCATTTTATCATTGAAACTTTAGTTGCTTGGGCGCGCAATTGTAATCGTATAGTGATAATGTAAGCAAATGCGCGATATTGTACAGTCTGTTCGTGAAAGATACGCGCACCTGTATAAAAAAAAATTTGTGCCCGTAGCAACAGCCAGGCAGTAAAGTACAACACTTTACCAGTATGTCGGTGATACGAAGAATGCAGAACGACAATTACATAACGTCGAAGATAAAAGTATAACAATGGTACGGAACTGATAAATATTGACATTTCTTTTTCTTTTACATTTTTGAATAGTTCAACTATTTCAAAATATGTTCACGAAGTTTCGTTTTGAAATTTAAAAAAGTAACTTTTCAATGGTCGTGAATACTTTCGTAACCAGCGAGTTACGTAACAGTGTTCATTTAGATGAAAATGAAGATAGACAGATGTATCGTAGCTAGATGGAATGACGGAACATAAAAAAAATACTTGGGTCATTGTTTGAACGTTCTTCTCGGATTATCTAGAAATGGTAACTCGGTTGATTCAGCGATATCATTAATACCGCAAGTAAATATTGATGCTCTGGGCGTGTACAGTCACGATTCATGGCATGAACACTGTTAGACTCTGTGACAATTAACGGTTGAACGACGATAAATCATTATGTTCGTATTGGTAGTGTGTACGTGTGTCGTGTGTACGTTCCCGTTAACGTGAAAGCCCATCGGGGGAGAAAAACACCGTTCAAGTAATAAAAGTCGATAGTTTCAGCGGCAGACAGGGCAATCCCTCTCATGTTCAAAGAAGAACTAACGAAGGGAATAAAAAATTATTTTTAGAACGGATGTCAGTAAATTGAATCGTTGACGGACCGGTGCAAGCGTGTTAATTTGCGTAAAAGTTGCCTTAACACCAATACCAACTGTCTCTCGAGTCCTATTTTCATTAGAACGGAGGCGCTATGCAAATTCAAACACCGCGTTTCCAATATATTTGTACCATCGGTTACGCAGAACCGGCAATACGGTCAAAGAAAAGAAATTTCCAAAGCACGGGACAATTCTGCCGCCACGGTTCTAGAAACACAACGCAATCGTGCTGCAAACGTTGTGAAATATTTTTTAGTTATCGAGCGTTACTTTCGAAGGTGGAAGCAAGATCAACGTGTCGCTACTCACTACTTTCAATCGGGTCGGCCAAGGCGGATTTTTGGTGGCCGTGTTGCAATCGGTTTTTAAGATCCTGCTCGTCGAAAATTATTGTCGCGCTATCAGGCTCCCGGTGACGTGTGCGTTCGAAAATAGTTCATTCCACCTAATCTATGCCAGAGCTCCCAGACGCGAAACACCTGCCAGCCTACCGGCGCGTAGCCACTTCCTCGACTACTCTTCACGAAGGCACCTTTGATGTCACGGCGAACGCGGAAACCAACACACATCCCCCCTCCGGCGAAACAAAAATCATCAAACTTGTCGATCCACGCGACAAGCTTCAAAATCGAAGTTCGGTTCGTTCACTGTAGATCGTTCGACGATGGTAACGCGGATATTCAACGGCGAACGCACATTTCTGGCCGGTCGAGTCGCGGGACAGGTATTACAACTCCGTGCACGAGTAAAAATATTCGAAATACGTTTCACGAGCGTCCGATTCAAGGCTGAAACAGATCCGATTCGTGGTCGCGAGCACAGCAACGCCGTGACTGTATATTTTTTAACGAGTTAACCGTACGTAAGAAGGGAAACGATCTGCTCAACAGTGGGAAGAGCCTCTTGTCAATGACGCGTAGTGGCGAGCACTGTGTACAAAACACGTTTGCACTCCACGAAGTCTACTCCACGCGAGAATTCGATTCTTCCCTGTGCAACGATCAATCATCGCCGCGGTAATATTACCGGATCGTGATACATGCAACGAGGGCTAGAGTGTGTTAAAAGCTGGCAACGTGACGGACCAGTGAAAATTGACGCCGATAACGATAACGAACGTGCCGCTCTCTTCACGAGGAGTGTTACAAGTCGCGGGTACGTACGCACTTGGACACCGTAGACGTTCACAACCGACCGCACGCCGAAGACTAGATCAATGGAGGAAAGCAACCATTCACCGCGATCGATACAGCCCGATTTCATTGATTCATCGAGTATCGATGCCGTCACGCGATTCGTGGTAAAATTCTTACGAGTTACGGGAAACGTGATTGGGACACGGACGTTACAGCGAGAGAAAACGAACTCGATAATTTACTACGGTCACGAGACACTTTTTCGCGGTTGCGTTGGCCGCGAGTAGCATCCATCAGGGCTCATTACACATAACGAACGAAGTAATTGATCACGTAGGATGAAACGTTGAACTAACGCAATCGAGGCTAGGGTGAGACAATCGTGAACGGTGCACGCGTGCACGGAATTGAGATCACAAGTAAAATTACGCTTTCTAGGAGGCCTCTATTTATTTTTTCAAACAATACGCCGCGAAACGGGGACGCGGTTCGACGTGTGGCGAAGTCGCGGCGCAAAAACTGAACAAGATTTCCCGAAGGACGATGGTCGAGGGGAACACACGCTGCCCGTGGCGTGGGCCTTTCTCATAAAAATCTCGTTTCAGATAGAAATCAGTGGCCACGGGTGTTCCCGCTGTGTATTATAAAATTTTACGCCGATAAGGTTCACGTGACGCGGCAACTTTGTTTTATGCATCTAATCTATTTTCTACGCGGAAAACCGTGAAACACCTCGTCGCGTAAAGAATCTGGTACGCTTTCCATGGCGCGACGAACTTGCAGGAGAAAGAAAGATCAGTTCTATATTCTTACGAGAAGAGGACTTGAATCGTTTGGATCCTATACGCTATAAATATTATTCCTGGGTCGGATGCGTTGGTCAGTAAGTCACGCTGTCCCACAATCTACTTACTCATGGTAATTCAATCCCTTCGATCAGGCGATAGAACTTTCTTTCTCCCCTACAATGCGTCGCGCACTGTTTATCACCCGCGACGCACCACGATCCTCGACTTCTTAATCGTCGAGGAGTTACGAAAGAGTCGTGACGAACGTCGCGAAGTGTGTCGCGCGCGAAATTATCTCTCGAAATTATTTCACGGGGAATACGGTGCCGGATAACGGTGATTAATTCGTGATTAGATTGCAGAAAGTGGATTTCCGGTTCGAGGAACGGACGCGATACCGTCGAAACGTCGAACTCGCGTCCCAGCGATTATTTATCGACTTCAGTCATCTTTCGTGGCGTTCCTTCGTTCGTCACACGTGCACATGCACTATAGTCCTTTGTCTCCCTTCCTGGACGCGGGTTTCCATGTCGACGGGACGACGCATGTACGCTGTTACCTGACAGACGCGTCGACTCTCTCTCTTCTCTTCGCGATACAAACCACCAGCAAACTTTTGCGCGTGCCACTTGCCAGCTCCGACATCGCCGCGATTGATTCGACAAATTAGACCGCAACGTGATTTCGACCGTTACGCGTTCCGCGTATACTTAATCGCATATGGACGAAACACGTGCTGACGACGGTTACGAGCAACTGGACAAAATGGATGTAACCGATCACGGTTCGTTAGACCGGCTAGGCTATCCATTAACTGTCGTAATATGTATCCCGTAGAATGTCTTGTATACTTTCTCGTCCAACACGTGGGTTTAACAACGTAACATGATCGCCTTGTGTATTTCTGTCGCTAGCGGACCGATTTACATTTCTTGTGTCCGATTATTTGGTTCAGTCGGCCGTAGAGGATCATGATGGCGAATCTCGTACCAGCCGGTTCTCTTCTTGGACGTTTTCAAGGTTACGCTCGAGCTTTTACACGGAACCTTGTAATTATTTTCCATCGTCCGGTTTCGGTCGTTAATTATTTTTGAGCAGTTCCAGGCAAGTTCTGAATGCAAAATATACCGAGAATGAACGTTGCATTGTTTCGTAATAACATGTGTATGCATAGCACACGTGTGCAAATATTTATCGTGGATGGTGCAGTGCCGGAATTAGGCACAGGCAAACCTAGGCAGTCGCTTAGAGGCGCCGAACAAAATGGAGCGCTTCGAGTTCCATAAATCATGGGAATTATTTATATTTATTGCACGCCGGTGAACTGAAATTCAAGATACAATCCGTTAGTCAAATATTGATACTATCTTAAGATCTTATACACACGTTTAACAAATTCTTTCGCGGAGCGCAGTTTTGTATTATTTAACGACTACACGCACTGGCAATATAATCTATTTTAGTTCCGACATGGGGGACGGATCCCGACTATAGTGTACCTTCTCTTCATTTTTTCAAAATAATCGTTTTGATTTTTATTACACAAGCGTATCGAATTGTTGCAAATTTGTTAACGTTGCGTTCCGGTTCTTGCGTTAGATCATTTGGCAGTTACAGGTTGCGCTAAATTTAGCAGAATATGAGAAGATGATTGAAAGATTATTACGTAAGGCAGTGGCTCCAAACTTTTTGGAAAAGATCCTTTTCTAAAACAAACAGAATTTTTGATGTTATTAAATATTATCCAAAGAAATACATGTTTCTGCCGATCACTAGAGAACTTCGAATTTCAAACTATTCGACGTTGTACCTTTCTGGCAGAAAATTCTATACGGAACACCTTTTTCCGCCTGAAAGGAGCATTGATTTGCACCATATTTACTTATTTTTAGATTTCATATTATATACGACGACAAATCGATACAACATATTTCGATTTAATTTCGAATTTAGGTTTTTTTCTTAGAAAAATTCACGGAGACGCAGTGCTCCTTTAATTCCTGATTCGATTAATTCCCGGGCACGGAGCTCTCGTTAATTATTTCGAGCAGCACACCTGATTCATTTCAATAACGCGCAATACACGATTGCGAATTACCATACTGTATTTTGAAACTTTTTAATATTTTCGACGAAGAGAAAAGTAAACACTGAGTGAAAACACGAAACGCAAAATAAATATGGAGATAAATAGAAACTTGAAATAACAGCGCGAAGTTGCAGAGAGGAAACAATAATATTCACCAGTAGTATTATTATTATCGCATCTTTATCGTATATGTTTTATTAACGCCGACAAATTGTTTCGATATATTTTAAACAATGGAAGAAAGGGGAATATTTTGGTCGAACCATTCGCCGAATGTACGTAAAACCTGGAACATTCTCGGAGATTATCGACGTGCAGTACGATGTAAGCCAGCTTTTTTTCACGAAAAAAAAAAGATAATGGCAGAGAATGCAAGGGGGTATCAATAATGAAAATAAATCGATTAAAAGACGTCGTAGGAATGATCAAAGAGTCTCCGGAGTAATTGAATCTTATCGATTCTGGATAAGGCACCTCTCTGTCGGAATCATGATCGAAGAAAAATATAGCCGACCTCTATGTCGGAACCTTTATTAGCAAAAGTCGCCCTTTAGCGAAAACGTGTTGGTTGGGCTCGTTAAGGACATTACCGCGTCAGACCTATCGGTGGAAATGTCAATTCCCCGGGGTGCCATCCTGTCCATCGATTTTTCGTGCTTGGTGTCTGTACACTTTTTATCGTCGAGTTTCGTCTACCATCTGATATTATTACAGCCGCGGAAATGAGTTCATCTTCCGGCGCGACGGAAACGAATCTGCGTTCATTAACCTTCGAGGGTTGAAATTAGACGGTAAGAGATATAAGGCGGATCGAGAAGAGGACTATATTTTATTCAGGGCTTGATAGTACCTGGCCCGGAATATCCACGGCGTATTTCAGAGAGAAAAACTCGTAGTACGCGTCTGATTAAATAATGACGTAACGAACGCGTGTCTGATCTGTTTAATCGCGAAAAAAAATTTACTGGTCGCTTCTGTGACTGTAGAAAAGTTTTACGTTGAACCTGATAGGACGCGAGACGCGTGCTTTGTTATGAGCTTCTCAAACCAGGTGAAACAGTTACGGCGGTTCGTTATCAGCGCCGATTGATCAATTTCAGCGATGAATTGGAGCGAAAGAGACCGTTTACTGGTCAAGGAAACCTACGGGTCATACTGCTGCATGATAACGCTCGACCACGCGTTGCTGAGGCGACGAAGGACGTCATCTTCAGCTGAGGTTAGAATCGGGCAAATTTTATTCATGAATAATGAATACAAATTTTAGATTCATTCGAAAATTAGCCTTTGCCCGTGGTTTCGTTCCCTCAGACGTCGGGTTTAAGTAATCCGCTAATGAATTCTAATTCACGAGCGAATATACAATTGAAACGCGAGCAGAAGTCGGTTTACCGACGAATCGAAAATTTTTATTCGCGGTGTATTAAAACCCTCCCCCTTTGGTATTTCTAAGGTTGACCCTAATAAGTTGAATGACCGGCAGGGTCTGTAAATAAATTTATATATCGATGATGCATTTTATAACTTTATAACGCATAAAACGTCGTTGGTATATAAATTTATTTATAGCCCCTTCGTTTACTCGAACTTGTTACGCGACAAAGTATGGACGGAACTTCGCTGTAAAAATTACGGAACTCTTTCTTGCGCCTAATACACATACGAATATGTGACCTGAGAATCGCATGGAATTACAGGGGGTTAATACGTTGACTAACGTGTCAGTTGTTAGATATGGGTGACGCGTAACATCCATAGAGGGTCGCGTCATCGAAATACGGGCGACGTTCATATATTACCATGTCATGCATGATATTAGTTCGTATTTCTGTCAGACTGCGAGGGAACTAATACAATGATAATAATTATGAAAATGATAAACATGAATTATTTATAACATTTCAACACACTGTCACGCGACCCTTACGGAATATCGAGCAGTAGAAATAAAATATTACGTAAATAGTAGATCGAACTGACCAACGACGAAATAATTGTAATACGATAACGCTCTGATGTTTCGCTGAATAAAACTACGAAATTATTTACACGATCCATACTTCTGACCTATCCTACGATACGTATTTCACATTGGAAGTTTCGCCTGATTGATAAAAGCTGAGCGTTCGGAAGCAATGCTTAAAACATTGATGTTAGCGAATTAGAGTGAAATAGCAAGTTATGAGAAAGTCGCGTGATCCCTGTAATTGGTTCGTGGACGAAACTATTC